AATAAATCGAGTGACTATGTTGTTTCGTGTAAAATCGTGCACCACATGGTGGCTCACGCGGTACGCAATGTGTTAAGCACGTAATGGGATACAGGGCGCAAAAAAGCGCTTTTGAACTCTTGCAAGTTTATTTCCATACACTCATGATACAGCAGTATACTACCAAAACGCGAAGGCTATACAGCTCAAAACTGATATAACGTCCCCAAGCCAGTATCTTGTCCTTCTGACTCAAGCAGTTCCCAGTTCAAAGAAAAAAAAAACTAATTTTGATGACTTCAAAGTTAACGATGGATATACCGCTTATCGAACCAAATTGAATAGTGGTAAATAAATATAAACGCCATACTGGAAAAGGGTTATAAAGTGGTACACTTTATGTTATCCTTTGCACCTCTAATCATCGTTTCCTCGCGGTGAGATGCTAAACAGTTACGCGCCAAAGACATAGAGGTCATAATTTCACCTACATTTCAGCATTAGCTGATCGTGAGCAAAAACGTAAATAAATTGGGAGTAAAATTAGAGTAATGAAAAGATTCGCGTAGACAAGGTTGTGGATGATTTACCACTACGCAACTATCTGTATCAATGAACACTTGAGATCTGCTCATAAATCATACAAATTAGACTGATTGTCGGGTTGCGTATGAAGCGCACGCGTAAAATCGATACCCATTTAGAAATGAAAGCTTCAAAGTGAAGGAGGAATGAAGGCCGAGAACGGCCTCAGGAGCAGAAGATATGGATGGAATGACTTGGGGAACCAGAAGTGGTAATCACGAGTTAGGAAGTTTGGAACTTGAAAAAAGAACCACAGATTACTTATACATTCTGGTCGCCGATTTTTCTGATGGACTAGTCCAAATTCAAGAATACGCACGTAATCATAAGTTATCTCGATAAAAAGGACAGCGTTCTTATACTATCGGAGAAGAAACGACAAACTCACGAGCATCTCGAAATGAGCTTGCCAAATTATCCCAAATGATTGTCCAGTAGTTTTCTTCCCAGTCTTGGAGTTCGCACAACTCCCTCAGAGTGTCTATCGATAATTTGTTCGAAGAAATCTGAACATAGCTATTAGTCAGTCTCAAGAGATACTGCTCTACTGATCAGTGTAAACGATCGGTGAAATGATTGTGAAGAAATGACAGACCACCTCAGAAGAAATCTTCTGCAGCCGCTGATTAACCATCGAACTGATTTCATCGCTGATTAGTGAACTCACACCCAAGCCTTTGTAACCGCACTAGAAAATACGAGAATTTCCACAGAAGGTACGAGTAATGGTGTTCAGCAAGAACTGAGCAAAGCTAGGGATAAATGTGGTGTAGATGCGCGCATTTTTACACCCAAATATCGTTTCGTTCACATTTCTTTGCAAAAATACGACTAGACAGATGTGTGGAGCTTAAAAAAGTGATTGACCTTGACATTCACAGCAAAAGCTCGAGCTAAGAACATTCGGCGTTGATGAAATCCATTGCGAGAGCTTACAATCCGCATATGACACGGCTTGCCGAAGCCAGCTCACGTATGAGCCAGTGTTTTTATCTTATCACAATCAGATGAGCTCGTTGACCGGTATTCAGAAGAAATGGCAAACCTGATGGACATATATTGCCTTGATTGCATCCAAATGGTATTGTACGGTTTTGTCATTGGAACTGGACTCCTAAAAGTTAGTGGTAAGCGAACTGAGCGCTCTCCGAATGATCCACAAGAACTTTCTGGTATCAAGAGCGGAGTTCTTGACATCCTTTTGCCCTTTTCTGACAGTTACTTCTTCACTGGTAGCTGAGTGCATAGACTAACAAGGGAGGTCTTTCAGGGCAAGCCGCGCTTTTTGGAAACGGTTTCTTGCATATTGTAGGGACGCATGTATGGACCACAAAACCATGTTTCGTTTTCGCTGAACGGTTTTAGTAGTACCAAAAAAGTGGTGAATAATACCCTTGATGGTTCGATCCCCGCGGCGACTAAATTTTGCAATCAAGGTTGACGGCCACTTGTT